CGAGATTTTTGTGTTTTTAAGCCCCAGAAAGCAGGGTTAGCAAGGAGCCAGGAACTTAAATATCTAGGACCAGAGAGGTCTTGGGTGTAGGAATAACAAAGTCGCTTCACCAATAACAAAATAAGATATCTTTTCCAAACAAAGTGGAGGAGACGCAAGATATTTTAGATTGGTCCCCGGGGTGTGCAATCGTTCCGTTCTTGTGACTCAGATCTCATTCCTCAGTCAAGTTATATCCTCATCTTCAGCATCTTTCTTGTACCGTCGAGGCCCACAAACTTTCATTTGGAAATCTTAGTTGGTAAACAGTTCCAATACATCTAATTCTAGTATTGGTTGGAAAGTTTTGAATTCAAGTACTCTCTTTCTGATTTCTCTCTCTATTTCTGCGATCATAATTCTGAGTTCTGGATTATCGAATAATATCGAATAAGCCAGCTTTTAGTTACCGACTTCTTGCCTCATTATGGCTTGCCACTGGGCGTGCAATCGTTCTGTTCTTGCGACTCAAAACAAATGAAATTTAAGGATGCCACTGTAGGCAACATATATATATATATATATATATATATATATATATATATATATATATATATATATATATATATATATATATATATATATATATATATATATACACTGTCCTATCATTAAAATATCCCTGAATAACCACTTCCCGGACCAAAGCCGCCAATGAATAGGTAAATGAGAGACATGTCTTACAAAATTATTCATTTTATTCGATAGAAACACTTTCATTTATAAACAGCCAAGACCATCGATCATACAAATCCGTGAGGCCGAAGGGGGAAGAAGAGGCTAACCAACGCCTAACCATAAAGCTCGATGTACACCTGTTTGATATTTGAACTTGAGCCTTAAGAGCTACGGGTGGACCAGCCTCTACCTTCGCCTCGGCCCGCACAGAAATAATAAAAGCAGACAGGAAGATGCAATTTTTTTATTTATTTTTTTATTTCTTTCTTTCTTAAAATGGATTTGGGTTCTGAGATTATCCTGGGAACAGACGGAGCGCGTGGTGCCGGAGGGGGGAGAAGGGGAGAAGGGGGAGGGGAAGGAGAGGGGGGGGAGGGGGAGGGGAGGAGGGAAGGTGAGGGGAAAGGGATGGGGAAGGAAAGGAGAGGGTAAAGTGAGGGAAGGGAAGGTGAGGGGAGAGGGTGATGTCGGAATGGGGGAGAAGGGAGAGGGGAAGGGAGAAGGGAAGGAAAGAAGAAAAATAGAAGAGGGGAAGGGAAAAAGAAGAGAAGAGAAAGAACTCAAAAAAAATGGGGAAGGGAAGACAAAAGAGAAGATGATAAGAGGAAGAGAAAAGGGCGTGGGGGAAGAGAGTAAGAAAAGAAGATAAGGAGTAGGAGAAAAAGAAAAAAAAAAAAACGATAAGAAGGAGGGGAGAGAGAAGAAGAAAATGAAGGAGAAAAAGAAGATAATGAAGAAAAAAAAGACAAGAAGGTGCAGACTAAAGAGAGAGAGAAAAATAAAATTAAAAAATACGAAGACAGGAAAAAGAAATACCAAGAGAAAAGGGAAAGGAAAGAGTCCAGGGAAGTGACACACAACAAAGTAAGGTTTCCTCTGACCGTCTGTCCGTGTCTAAATCGCTACATAAAATCCATATTATCTACGCGAAAGGAAACCCAGTCTGACTAAAGAAGCATTTTTTTTGTTTTAATTTACTGTTCATTCACTTTCCACGATCACCTCTCAGCCAAATCCTTAAATCTATGTACGCAGCAGAGGATATTATGATCTATAAATATGTACATGTATTTTAATCTGTACGCAGAATGGGTCACGTGACTGTATGTACATCCTTCTTCGGAAACCATATTACAGTAGTTTTTTTTAAAGGTATATATTTACAGAGATCACATATAATACAACATCAAACAAATGCAGAAATCGGTTTAGCTTTTTTATTTTTTTGCAAGAAATATAGATAAGAATCTGTTGACATTACAGACATAAGCGGCAATTCTTTGGCAATTCATGCAAACGTAGCTTTAAGTAATGATAATGGAAATAAAGGAAAAAAAGGAAAGAATGGGAAAGATCATCCGGGAAATGAAACGAAAAAGAAAAGAAAGAGAATGATAAGAAAAAGGTGAGACAAGAAGAGGTTGTTTTTTTAATTCCTGACGAACTCCAGGCCAAACTGTTTTTTTTTTTTTTTTTTTCTTTTTCTTTTTCTTCTTACATATTTTCTTCCAAGAACTTCCTCATGGTGAAGTTATCTCTTTAAGAAAAAATACACAAGAACAAATACCGGTTTCCTTCATGAATACAAGACGTTCGGCCTGAAGTTGGTACCTCCAGAGAAACATTCTTTAAGTGGGGGAGGGAGGTGATAAAAATTCGATTTGTTTAGCCTCTGTCGAGATTTTTATTCATTTTTTTATTTGCTTTTTTTAATATATATTTTTTTAAATGTTTGTAATAATAGCGAAGAGACTATAGTTGTGAAGGCAGTTATAACATCATGCTACAGAGTGAGACAAGGCAAGATGGCGGTGAAGGATTCATGAAAAGCCTTTCGTTTTTATTTAAGGACTGCAACTATATTATATATAAGTATATATATATAACCCCTAGTCGGTCGGTGAATCAACAATCAGGATTCTTTCTAAAAAGGAGGATTTCATATCGGAGTCATAAAAAGATATGATTTCAGGTGTTAAAAGGTAGGTTCACTGGATCGAAAGTCCTTTCTATTCCTACGTGAATGGTTAGCTCATATACTGGTCTAAATCCAACAGCATTTGCTTATACTTAATATGCACTTACAGGTTATTTTTTCCCCGTGTAAGTTCTCAAAGAAAGAAGCTGTCCTGTTTGTCACGGTACTATCTCGAGAGGAGGAACCTGCTCGCACAAGTTTCCGGTTTCAAGTCATGGTTCACTGTCATTTTACGCGTTATACATACATACATGTATACGTGTACGTGTGTGTGTGTGTGTGTGTGTGTGTGTGTGTGTGTGTGTGTGTGTGTGTGTGTGTGTGTGTGTGTGTGTGTGTGTGTGTGTGTGTGTGTGTGTGTGTGTGTGTGTGTGTGTGTGTGTGAAAGAATAATGTATGCAGGTATGTATGTATGTATGTATCCATGCATGCATGCATGCATGCAGGTATGTACGTACGTATGGACATACGTATGTATGTATATAAGCACATGCATGTGCAATATGTATATGAAAATTTACAAATATGTATGAACATATACATACATACACGCACATACAAGTCCACACGCGAACACGGGAAACGGACTTCACTTCGGGGACGTCGCCGCCTCGCCACACTGCGGTCTTAAGTAAAAATATTTTATTGTCATGAGCGACAATACCGTTATTCTGGAACTCGGAACATCATACAAAATCTAGTATAATAAGTTCCAAGGAGCACTTTCTTTTCGTGCAAGGCAAGAGGGAGGGGAGGAGGGAGGGAGGGGCACGAAGAGAGAAAGAGGGGAGAGAGAGGGGATGGGATAGAGAAGGAAGGGGAGAGGAAGGAGTAAAAATAAAGATAGGTCTCAAGAAAGGAGATAAGGAGAAGGGTCGATGTAAAGGGTGGAGGAGGGAAAGGGTGATGGAGATGGAGAGAGAGAGGGAGAGAAAAGGGAGGGACAGAGAAGGAGAGAGGATCAAAGTGGGAGAAAACAAGATAAGAAGAGATTCAGGGAAGAAGGGAAGGAGAAGAAGAAGAGAAAAGAGAGTTAGAGAGAAGAAAAAAAAAAACATAGAATAGAAGAGGAGAAGGGAAGAGATTATGTTAATTTACACAATATTTACAAAGAGGTGTTCAAGAAGTTATAAAAAATATGTTAAATTAATAGCACCTTGTGCCACATACTCGTGATTCTAACCCTTTTATCGAACATCGGGAATCAGCTGGGCGATTTTTAAATTTCTTTACTCAAAAATCCCCGCCCACAGAGCCAGAATTGATACAATCATATCAACGAATAAGGCATAAATTATATGTATTTTATAATGTCGAAAGTACCTAATAGCGTAGAAGGTATTGTAAAGAGAAATAATTTATTCCAAGACCTGGTATTTTCTTTTTTCTTTTTTTTTCTCTTTTTCTTTAATCTGGATTTTTTTTGGATTCCACATTTCATTTTTCATTTTCTTTTTTTTTTTTTTTCTTTGAGACGGACGATTCTTATTCATGAACTAAAAAAGCATAATCTATTTCATATCAGATTCATAGATTAAATAACAAACACATAAGAATAAATAAAACAAATAAATAACTCAAAAATTCTCGTTTTCTTTTCCAAAACCAAGTCGACAATTTCCTCCAAAAAAAAAAAAAAAAAAAAAAAAAATCCTTTTCTTCCCATCCAGACACCAGCTGCTTAAATAAAAGATATCACGTAAGACCAGTCTCTCTTGCCTCCTGTTTCCTCTTACGCATCTTTCTCTCACAATAAAGAGGTACAGATGGTGTAGACGCTAGGCAGAAGTACCGCCCGTCACTAGAGAAAGTACCGGCTAGTCACCTGACGGGAATTCACCGGTTGAAACTTGCTAGTATTCTGGGATCCTACTAGTTTCTGCGAACGATTTACATATACACACATTTACATACATACTTGTGTGTATTTTGTATATGTACATATACATATATATATATATATATATATATATATATATATATATATATATATATATATATATATATATATATGCACACAAACACACACACATACATATACACACATAATTACGTGCTTACAGCACACCGTACATACATTTATATGCATACATAAATATATACATTCATATGCATGCATAATTACATGTAAACATACAAATACATCGATTTCCGTGTGTGTATGTGTGTATGTGTGTGTGTGTGTGTGTGTGTGTGTGTGTGTGTGTGTGTGTGTGTGTGTGTGTGTGTGTGTGTGTGTGTGTTGTGTGTGTGTGTGTGTGTGTGTGTGTGTGTGTGTGTGTGTGTGTGTGTGTGTATTTTAACGCGCGTTCGCGCATGCGCATTTACCTGCATTCATATGCATTTGCAGTGTCTGCATGTATGTACATATGTGTGTGCGTATGTATATATGTACGTATGCATGTATACATATAAGTTTATGTGTGTGTATGTATCTGCTCGTGTGTATATATGTACGTACATTCATGTATGTACATGAGTACTACTGTGAAAAGCTCTTTGATATCTCCTTCTCTACGGTGAGGGTTGACATGGGGCCTCCTGCCGCTCGGGCGAGGATGTGCACTGGAATCACTCTCCTAAATACTAGTAATTCGTTTAGCAAATCTTGCAACACTCAGTGCGTGAAATGCAACATGGATATACCGTACAAGTCTTTTTTTTTTCTTCTTTAATGTGCGATAACTAGCACATCAAGAGCCGGCACACAAGCCATAAGTAATGTACCAACACTGGCTGACCCCTGTGGCACTCCCAATGCCAGACGCACTTGCAAACCACTTACAAACCACTGTAGTGCAGATAATTTGCAACCACTGCACGTGCACTACATCTTGCACTGGCACCTTCCCGGTCCAGAGACAGCATGTACTGGTCCTTTCCTGATGTACTGCACGCACTCTGTACATGTGCTTATCATGTACACAAACACGACGATCACTGGTAAATGCAGACATTAAAAAATCAAAGTGGCGGTGACTCTATCACACGGACTCGTGAATTATCACATATAAATATCTTCTTACACTTTATCCATCTATCTATTTATTTACCTTTTCTCTTAAATACCATTTCGTTGTTCTGACCTTCCGCTTCCGTTCAAGCAAAGCGACCTATGTATTGTCCTTTTCTTGTGCAAAGTACAGTATCGCAGTGCCCACAAAGGTGCGCATTTCAAGGGGTACTTAATTACCGAGCGCCCTCATGCCCTCAGAACGCCATTTAGGTTTATCATCAACTGCCGTAAAATAATGCCACTTTCGATACACGGAATGTTAGACTTTGCCTATTCCACTCGTCCATGGATCTCGATTTCTCCTTTCGTCGACGCGAAAAAATTCCTCGTTTAATATTTACAAATCACACGACATGTCATGTACACAAACACACCTGGAGAGCTCTAGTCGAAAGAGTCCATCAAGCTAAGAGAAAAGAGAGATCGCTTTAATATACTGACAAAAAGTTTCAAATGCATTTCTTTCAATCTCTTAGGCCGAAGAAAAAAAATCAAGAAGAAATGTAATCCAGGCAAAAATCTCCTCTTAAAAAATCCATCGCCGGCAACCACAGCGTCGCCAGGAGCCGCCTGCCGGGGCCTCCTCTTCCTCTTCTTCAAGAGTCGAAGAAACTAGGACGAAATGAGCGGTAAAGTTCGCGTGGCACGGGCTCCCTCCCTCTTCTCCTCTCCCGTCTCTCCCTCCGTCTCTCTCCCTCCCTTTCTCTCGCTGGCCCCCGCGCGGCGCCCATCGCGGCAAGGGGGGGAGGGAGCAGGGGGAAGGGGAGGGGCGCGGAGGGAGAGCCCCACGTGGTCTAGCAGAGCCCGCGCCACCACTTGCGGCAGCGGTGGGAGCGGCGCGTCTTCGAGTTCCGTCTGGTCCGCTTCGTGTTCCTGAAGAAGCGGACGTTGGTCGGGTCGTCGAGCAGGGCCGGATACTCCTCGGGCGGGTACAGGTATTTGGCGGTGTAGCTGCTGACGGAGCCGCGGGACAGGAGCTCCTCCGTCTCGCTCGACGACCACTCCACGGAGCCGGGGAGGCCGGACGACAGCCGCTCGCGCTCCTCCGACCACGCGCGCCGGATCGCCACCTGGGGGGCCGGGGGTTAGAACATGGGGGGAAAGGGGGGGGGGGCTACTAACGAGCCTCTCTTATAGGAATGAAAGGGAATAGACGGTTATCAGCTAGTATATATCACCAATGGCATGAAATACTACTATGTACACTTATCTTATTATAATAAGATACACCCTTCACTATTCAGCATAACCATGTCTACAGTAGACCACCACAACTAATTATCATTAATGCTACTATTCCAAATATACTAATACTAAACCTTTACTAATACTATAACTGTTACTATCATTATGTCTCTCATTACTATTTCTACTACTCCGACTACCACTACCACTACTACTGCTACTGCTGCTATTACTACAAGTATTACTACTACTACCCCACTATCACCACCACTACTACTACTTCCGCTATTACTACAAGTACTACTCCTGCTACCCCTACCACCACCACTACTACTACTACTGCTACTATTACTAAAATTACTACTACGACTACCCCACTACCGCAACTATTACTGCTACCACTGCTACTATTACTACAATTACTGCTACAACCCCACCACCCCCACCAGCCTCACCTTCTTGGCGTGCTTGAGCAACCTCTTCTTCTCCTGGACGACGGTGGTGCCATAGCGGATGTGGACGACGGCCCAAGCGCTGTGCAACTTCACGTCGACGAAGTTGTCGTTCTTCTCCTCGTCAGCCTGGAGGGGCGCGGAGGCCGAGGGTTCGTGGACCGTGATGTTCACTTCGCCCCCGAGTCGGTTCAGCTGCGTCATGTCCTCCGAAGCCTTCCAGAAGTTCTCCTGGGGGAGGGGGAGACGGGAGTGTAAGGGGCGGTCTCTCGTATGTTAGAATAACCGGGCAAAAGGGGGTGTTTGATATGGGCAAGAAGGGAGTCAAAACAGGAATGCAAAGGAAATCAAAATGAAGTCAAAAGGGAGTAAAAAATGAAGTCAAGGGAGTCAAAAATGAGTCAAAAGGGAGTCAAAAAATGAAGTAGAAAAGGGCGACAAGAAAAGCAAGAAAGGAAGTCAAAGACAGAGAGAGAGAGACAGAGAGAGAGAGAGAGAGAGAGAGAGAGAGAGAGAGAGAGAGAGAGAGAGAGAGAGAGAGAGAGAGAGAGAGAGAGAGAGAGAGAGAAGAGAGAGAGAGAGACAGAGACACAGAGAATTCATTACCGCAAATCCTACAAGACCCCATCAGGAGACAAGTACAAATGATTAGCAATTAGCGACGTACAGACCTGACAAATCTGATACCATTAGGCCTACAGACGCCGCAAAAACCGGTGACAAACTCCCCTCCAAACGCACCTGTTTAATAAGGCCTAAATGAGAGGAGGGCCTACATACCCCCCCCTCCCACCCGTCCATACCACCAATTCGTCCCTATATCTCTACAGCCTAATAAAAAAATCGTTTACAAAACATTAAAACACACAAAAAGGGGGTTTTAAGAGATCCCGCAGGATGCAGCCACTTACAGAACATTTCGTTATATCAAGAAAAAAAAAAACTCTTGAATAATTGGCCTATTTAAGTACCCTTCAGGTCTAATCACCTAAGGGAAATCCCCTAGACGTTATCTTTCCCTTTTTAACAAAATCCCTAATTATAACGACGCTCTTTCCTAGAGGAGAGAGAGAGAGAGAGAGAGAGAGAGAGAGAGAGAGAGAGAGAGAGAGAGAGAGAGAGAGAGAGAGACAGAGAGAGAGAGAGACAGAGACAGAGACAGAGACAGAGACAGAGAGAGAGAGACAGAGACAGAGACAGAGACAGAGAGACAGAGAGACAGAGAGACAGACAGACAGACAGACAGACAGACAGACAGACAGACAGAGAAATGGGAGAGAGAAGAGAAAAGAGAGAATTCCAATAAATAAATAAGAAATAAGAAATAAACAATCAAACAAACGAACAAATACCCCCAAAACAAACACAAAACAAACAAACAAAACTCACCTTCACGAAGTAGAAGACATGGGTGTTGTGCGTCGTCAGGGTGATGTCCAACAACAAGGAGTTATTGAAGACGGAAGTAAGGACATCCCTAAAGATCGGGTTGGCCAGGTCTGTGGCCGTGACCATCGCCCGACCGTCGACCGAGGAGACCAAAAGACCGACGCCGAAGGGACCGGGGACGCTCGCGATCTCGATCTGGTGAGGGGAGAGTGAGAGGGGAAGTGAGGGGAAGGCTTGCACAACAACAAACCCACCGGCGTCTTTGGAGTTGAAGGGGAGTTGGAGTGGTTGTAAGGTGACATGGTGGGTGACCTTGGCTTGTTCGCTACCTGTATGTTTGTTCCGTCTGTTGTGATCCTGTTGTTGTTTGGTCGTGGTGGTGGTGGTCGGTAGGTGGTGGTGACGTGACTATCGTAGACCTGTGGTAGAGACATTGCCGATGGCAACGAACCTACCGGACTCGGTGAGGATCCTATAGCACCACCTGAACAATAATGCGAACACATACAGCAACAACGATACTAACGAACAGACACTGTCTGCGCTACTCGATGCTGGCTCGACGTCTTGAAAGCTCGGAACTCACGCAACTCCGCCGCTCTAAATTCGTCCGAACCCGGTGTGCATGAGCGCTGTTCCGCGTCACTTCCCGCTCTCACTCTTTGGCTCCGCTGAGTTGCGTGGGCTGGTAGGTGGTAGGTCTGGGAGGGATCGTCGGAGCGTGTCCCGGTTCGGCCTTTCGCGGCGTTCGGGGTGTCTTGGTTTGTGGTCGGTTGGGTGCCGTGGTGGTGGTTCTGGTGGGGTTGCGATGGGTGGTGGTCGGTGGGGCGGGAGAGTGTGGGGTGGCTGGTCGGTAGCGTGGGGTCCAGCGAGTAGCGCTGGCCCACTCCGGGTTGTGTAGGGGCTGTTCCTTGGATCGGTTCCTCGGTCTGGTCATATATTCGCTTGGTGTTGTGACATGCAGTCCTCGGATGGAACGGGCATAACAAGCACGCCTCATGTCCTTGGCTTACTGTCGTTGGAATGGGGTGAGTTTTGTTTGGTTGTTGTTTTGGGTTGTGTGTTTTGGGGGGTATGTGATTGTTCTCGTTGTTGGTTTTGAGTTATGTTTAAGTTGGTTGGTTCGTTATTTGTGTTGAGTTAATGTGTTGTTTTATTGTGGGGATGAGATTTGTGCTTTGCGTTGCTTTTTCTTTGTCGTGGTTGGTTTGCTGCTGCATGTTCTCTCTGGTTTGGTCTGGTGCGCTGGGTGTGTGCGGGTCCTGTCGCTGGTGGTTCTGGTCTGGGCTGTGCTGTGGTGCTCTCTGTCTGTCTCTGGATCTTCTCTGTCCCTATTGATATGATCTCGTTTTATGCATTCATCATTCTTCAAAGACCTCATAGTTTCACGTCTGTGCTCTTATGTTATTCTCGGCTGAAACTTGATCATACCAATTTGTGTCTCTTCTAGTCACATCTGTCTATCATGTTAACATCTGTACTTTAACTGTCTTAACTCTCACTATGCACTTCTCATCTCCATGGTCTATCTCTATCCATCAAAGTAAATCCACTTATCTTTCCATCTCATTCGTACATACTAATCATAAACTCTACGCCCCGACCCAGCTTCTTCCAATTACCAGCATATCACATCTCTCTGTCCTCTCTCTCTACTCTGCTCTCTCTCTCCTCTAAGCCTAACCGGAAAGAGCGTCGTTATACTTAGGGATTTTTGTTATTAAAAGGGAAAGAATAACGTCTAGGGTGATTTCCCTTAGGTTGATTAGACGCTGAAGGGTCTTAAATAGGCCAATTATTCAAGAGTTTTTTTTTTCTTGATATAAACGAAATGTTCTGGTAAGTGGGCATGCAAATTCCTGTGGATCTCTTAAGACCCCTTTTTTGTGTGTTTTTAATGTTTTGTAAACGATTCTTTTTATTTAGGCTGTAAGAGATAATAGGCGACGAATTGGTGAGGATGGACGGGTGGGAGGGAGTGGGGTATCTGTAGGCCCTCCCTCTGCATTTAGGCCTTATTAACAGGTGCGTTTGAGGGGAGCTTTTGTCACGGTTTTGCGGCGTCGTGCTAGGCCTAACGGTATCAAGATTGTCGAGGTCTGTACGTCCGCTAATTGCTAATCATTTGTAACTTTGTCTCCTGATGGGGTCTTGTAGGATTTGCGTATGAATTCTTGTGTCTCTCGCCTGTCTCTCTCACTCTCTCTCTCCCTGCATCTCTCTTCTCTTCCTTTCTCTTCTTCTCTCTCTCTCTCTCTCTCTCTCTCCTTCTCCTCTCCTCTCTCTCTCTCTCTCTCTCTCTCTGTCTCTCTTCTCTCTGCTCCTTTGGAACTTCCTTTCTGCTTTTCTTTTGTCGCCCCTTTTGAACTTCATTTTTGCCCCCCTTTTGGACTTCATTTTTGACTCCTTTTGACTTCATTTTTGACTCCCTTTTGACTTCCATTTTGATTTCCTTTCGGCATTCCCGTTTTGGACTCCTTCTTGCCCATATCAAAAACACCCCTTTTGGCCCCGGGTATTCTTACATACGAGAGACCGCCCTTCACATTCCCGTCCCCCCTCCCCCAGGAGACTTCTGGAAGGCTTTCGGAGGACATGACGAGCTTGAAAACCGACTCGGGGCGAAGTGAACATCAAGGTCCACGAAACCTCGGCCCTCCGCGCCCTCCAGGTTGACGAGGAGAAGAACGACACTTCCGTGGACGTGAAGTTGCACAGGTTGGGCCGTCGGTCCACATCCGCTTAGTCGTAGTGGCACCACCGGTCGTCCAGGAGAAGAAAGAGGTTTTGCTCAAGCACGCCCAAGAAGGTGAGGCTGGTGGGGTGGTGGGGTTGTAGCAGTAAATTGGTAGTAATACGCTAGGCAGTGGTAAGCAGTAATAGTTGCCGGTAGTGGGTAGTCGTAGTAGTAATTTTAGTAATAGCAGCAGTAAGGTGTAGTCAGTAGTGGTGGTGTAAGGGGTAGCAGGAGTAGTACTTGTAGTACTAGCTGGGTAAGTAGTAGTAGTGGTGATGAAGTGGTGAGTAGTAGTAATACTTGTAGTAACTAGCAGCAGTACGCAGTAGTAGTGGTAGTGGTTAGTTGGGAGTAGTAGAAATAAGTACTGAAGAAGCATACATGAAATTAGTAAGCAGTTATAGTATTAGTTAAAAGGTTTTAGTATTAGTATTATTTGGAATAGTAAGCACTTAATGATGAATTAGTTGTGGAGCATAGACATGGTTTATGCTAATAGGTGAAGGGTGTAATCTATTCATTAATAAGATAAGTGTACATTGTAGTTATTCATGCCATTGGTGGATATATACTAGCTGATAACCGTCTATTCCGCTTTCATAATGAGAGGCTCGCTGCGGCGGTTCTCCCCCTTCCGCGTGCCCCTCCCTGACGCTCCGTTCCTATTCTTGTTTCCTTGTTCCATTACATCCGCCCCTCCTGCTCCTTCTCCGGCCACGTCTTACGAGCCCGATCCTCTCTCTCTCTTCGGTTTCTCCCCGCTCCCCCCCACGCGCCCCTTTCTCGCTTCTCCTGCCTTTTAACCCTTAGCATCCCAACAGCAAACAACCTCATTCCCTTAAGTTAGTCGCCCCCCCGTCAAACCAGTTGAACTACCAGCGTCCAGTTAAACTACCTTGTGGGTCTGGCGGCCAGAAATCGTGTCTGAGACGTGTTGCGGTGAGGGTCGAGAGCGCGACGTGGTCCTCGCCGCCTCCTGCAGCGTGCCAAGCACGACCACTCACGCACCGGACACCCTGGACGCTGCAGGAGGAGGGGGGAGAAGGGGGTATTGAAGTAAGATTTTTTTTATAGTTTTTTTTTTTATCTTATTTTTTTTTTTTCTTGAGGGGAGGGGGGAGGAGTGAATGTAGGTTCTTTGTTTGTTTGGTTTTTATGTGCGTTAACGTTTTTGTTTTCAGCTTTCTCTCGCGTTTTTGTTTGTTTTGTTTGTTTGATGTTTTCTCTCTCTCTCTCTCCCCTTTCTCTCCTTTCTCTCTCTTTCTCCCTCTCTTTCTCTCTTCTCTCCCTCCCCTTCCCTTTCTCTCTCTCTCCCTTTCTCTCCCTCTCCCTCCTGTCTCTCCATTTCCATCTTCCCTCTCCCTCTCCCCCTCTCTCTCTCTCTCTCTCTCTCTCTCTCTCTCTCCCTCTCTCCCTCTCCCTCTCCCTCTCCCTCTCCTCTCCCTCTCCGCTCCCTCTCCCTCTCCCTCTCCTCTCTCCCTCTCCCTCCCTCTCCCTCTCCCTTCCCTCTCCCTCTCCCTCTCTCTCTCTCCTACTTACCTCCCACTTACCTCCAACTTACCTCCCAACTTACCTCCCTACTCACTCCTACTACCTCCCTACTCACCTCCCTATCGACCGATCTACCTATCTACCTACAATAACTATATAAACTTAAAGCCTGTTTGCACCTCCACTGGATGCAATAAAGAAAATGGGATCCGAATGTGGGGGTACTTAGAGAAACGAGATAACCCTATTGTTTCACTTAATATCGTTTCGCGTGTTTATTTGTTTGTTTGCGTGTGGGGGGAGGGATACGTGTGTGGGGAGAGGGATATACGCGCATTTATGTACACATATAGAAACAAATGAATATGAATACGTACTTACGCACACACACACACACACACACACACACACACACACACACACACACACACACACACACACACACACACACACACACACACACACAACACCCTCCACTCCCCCCACACGAAATCCCTTTTCCCGCAGTTTCCAACCCCACCTGTTCCGAGAAGGGGAGACAGCCGCCCGCGTGGGGTAGCGGGGGTGTGGGTAAAAGCTTCCCACAGTGAGGGAGGATTAGGAGTGTAAGCCCACGCCAGCTGAGGAGCCAGACTCTCCAGGTTGTAGCCGAGGCGAGAGAGCCAAGCCTTGTGGTCTGGAAAAGTAATAGAAAATATATTAGTTACCCCTTTAATAAAAATAAAAAAGTCCCCTTTAAAAATAATAGTCCCCCCTTTAAAGAAGACAAAATTAGACCCATTAAAAAAAAAAGAAAGAAAATATTTCCAGATAGAAAAAAACACTTATTAAAAAAAAAAAAAAAAACATTAGGTCCTTATAAAAAAAAGAGGAAGAATTCCCCATTAAAGGAAGAAAAAGAATACGTTACCTGACATTAAAGAAAACCGAACCATGCATTAGTTGCCGTTAAGAAAAAGCTCTCGCTTTTTTAATCGATATCTATGATTTTTTCTCTTCGTTATCATTTTTGAATTCTTTGGTAATTACTATTACTATCATTATTAATATCACTATCTTTTTATCATTTCCATTCCTTTTATTTTCATTATCCTTATCACTATTATTACAATCATCACTATTAATATCATTAGCAGTAGTAGTGGTTATCATCACTCTTATTATAATCATTGTCATCATTATTACTATTACGATTATTCGTATCATCATTATAACCATCACCGCCATTATTATTACTGCTAATATTATTGTTATTTTAACTATTACTTTTTCATTATCATAGTCATTATCATCGTTATATATATGATTATTTGAACTAATCTGTGTGTTTAATTATATCCTTTTCTTTATCTCTCTATCAATCTATCTATCATTTTACCTGCCTCCCTTCCTCCTTCCTCGCACCCACCGACCCACCCACCACTTTCCTTCCTCCCACCCACCCTCTCTACCTACCCACCACCCACCCTCCTTCCTTCCCACCCACCCACCCTCCCTCTTTCCACCCACCCACCCTCCCTCCTTCCCACCCTCCCTCCTTCCCATCCACCCACCCACCCTCCCAACCTACCCACCAATCCTCATCTTCAGCCGTCGATCTGCCTTACCGTAATTCTTTCCAGTGCCTGAGATGTACGTTGATGGGTCATTCCCGTTGAAGCGGTAGAAGTGAGCGAGCTGGCGACAGGACGCTGCCCGGCACGTCTTCCCAGGCCGGGGAGAGCCACTGGCCTGCGAGGAGAGAAGGGAGAAGATGGTAAAGCTGCCGTCTTTTTATTATATTATCATTATTTATTATTATTATAATTATAATAATGATAATTCTTATTATTATCATTATATTATTATTATTATTAATTATTATTATTATTATTATTATTATTATTATTATTATTATTATTATTATTATTATTATTATTATTTCATCATCATTTTTATTTTGGGGAAGCGATTAGAGAACTGATAAGAATAGATAGATATATATAAACAGATGAAAATGAGAAGGAAAGAAACTGGAAAAAAGTGAAAGGATTAAACAGCGAAACAAAAATCAACCACATTATTATTAAAGAAAATAAACTAACGTAGAAAGGAACAAAAGAGAAGAAGAAAGAAGAGAGAGAGACAGACACAGACAGATAGTATATCTAAATATAATATATATATATATAGTATATATATAAATAGTATATATATATATATATATATATATATAATATATATATATATATATATATATATATAACAGAGAGAGAGAGAGAGAGAGGAGAGAGAGAGAGGAGAGAGAGAGAGAGAGAGGAGAGAGGAGAGAGAGCGAGAGAGAGAGAGAGAGAGAGAGAGAGAGAGAGAGAGAGAGAGAGAGAGAGAGAAAAGAGAAAGAGAAAAGAGAAAGAAAAAGAGAAGAAAGCGAGAGAGAGACAGCCAACCAAAACCTACCAATAAGAGGATCGTAAATCCGGCCGCGGGGCATGTGGACGAGCTCGGTGCGGGTCTCGAGTAATCCGCCGCAGTAATCCACAGGTAAGTACAGGTAAGGGTTCGAGTCGTACATGATGTGGCCGTACGGAGAGCGCATCATCTCACGGACGACCTCGCCGTACTGATTGAAGACCATGACGGGGGTTCCGCACTCGTCCGTGGCGATGTAGTACTTGTTCCGGTAGACCTAAGGGAGCAAGAGGACAAGGTTGAGGGGTTTGTGGGAGGTTTCGAGTATGTGGATGTTGGATTCATTTTAGGGGAGGGGGGTCTGGTTCGGTGTATGGATGTGTATGTTTCAGTTAGGTGTGGAGTTCAGGTGTATAGGATATGTTCAGTGAGGTGTTTGGTTCGGGTGTATATAATATGTTCAGTTAGGTATGGAGTTCAGGTGTATGTATCTTCATCTAGGTATGTAGTTCGGGTACATATATGTTCAGTTAGGTATTTAGTTCGGGTGTAAGTTGAGAATTTAGGTATATATATCATTCGTTTGTATACGGCATTCATGGTGTATAAATCACAAGAGTAAGTCCTCAAGACGCAGCCTCACCTGCGCGAAGATGATGTGTCCCCGGTCGTCGTACACGAGGCTGATGAGGTTCCCGTCGCGGGGGCTGTAGATGTGCGAGACCTGGTCCGGGTGGCGCTGGTCCGTGTACAGGAACTGCGTGACGTTGCCGAAGTTGTCCTTGCGGGCCACCAGGCGGTTCTCGTGGTCGTACATGTAGCGGATGTTGAAGCGGCCGGACTTGGCGGCGCGCACGAGGAGGCCGCGGGCGTTGTACTGGTAGGTGACCTCGCGGGCGTTCTGGACGATGGCGCCGCGGGAGTCGTAGCGGTAGACGCCCTCGCCGAACTTGACGATGCGGTCCTGCGAGTCGTACTTCATGGGGATGGTGTTGGTGGAGTAGGTGAGCGACAGCATGTTGCCGTTGGCGTCGTAGGTGAAGCTCCAGGGCTCCTTGGCCTCCACGCTGGTCAGCTGGCCGTCCGCGTCGTACGTGTAGTTCTTGGTGTTGGTGTAGGGCTTGGTGTGTGAAGTTGCGCGCTGTACGTGTTGGTCTGCTTGATCTTGCCGTTCATACAGGATCTTGCTTGAACACCTGCATGTTGTGGATGGTCACCGACGACTCGGCCACCTGCAGGTGCGCGTTCAGCTGCCGCGAGAAGATGGCGGTGCCGTCCTGGATGGCGGTCTCGTTGAGCCGCGGCCGCGCCACCGAGAAGTGGCCGATCTGCGAGGGGCCGCCCGTGGCCGCGCTGTAGGCGAACGCGAAGGGCGCCAGGTTCTGGCCGCCGATGCGCCCGGCGAAGCTGGTCACGCGGAAGTTGGAGTCGTACTCGTACGTGAACTTAACGTTGCTCAGTCCGGTTCGGGCGCCGTAGTCGATGCGGTGCTCCTGCAGGAGGCGCCCCGTGTACAGCATGTCCATCTTGTACTCTTTAAAAAAGCCTCTCTCGTCGTGATCTCCGCCATGAGGCCGTCGCTGCCGTAGGCGAACTGCGTCTTGCCGTCGCCCGACACGATCTCCTTCAGCTGCCCCGCCTCCGTGTACGTGCAGAGCACCTTGGCGGCGCCGGCGGGGAACGTGGTCAGCAGGAGGCGCCCGGCGTGGTCCAGGTACTGGCGGTACGAGTGCGTGGACCCGGGCGGCGTGTACGTGAAGATGAAGTACCCGAAGGACGGCTGCATGGAGAAGAAGTGGGCGGACCCCGTGGGCGTGGTCACGAACTTGAGGCCGCCCCGCTCGTCGTGTGGAGGTCCCACGTGCGCCCCCGGCAGCGTGATCGCACGGGCTGCGGGCCGAAGGAGGTGAGTAAGCGCTAAGGAAATCCTCTTCCCAGGATTAAAGATCACAGACACAAGTCCAATCACAAACAGAAGACGGAAAGAACAAATCCAGCACGCTTACCAGTCTGATCTCGCCGAAGTGTAGCTGGTGGTGTGTAGGGCGCGCGGCGCCGCTGCGGCCACGCTGGACAGGAGGCCGTGGGCGTCGTACTCGTACGTCTCGCTCGAGTCGTCCCACTGGCGCGCCTCCACGCGGCCGAGCCGCGTTCGAAAGTCGGGAAGCGGTCAGTGCGCGCCACTCACACGTACATACACATGTATATGTATAATATATATTTATAAATAAATAAACATATATGTGTGTGTGTGCGTGCGTCTGTGTGTGGGTGTGTAAGTACGTATGTATATTCATTTTTGTTTCGATATGTGTACCTAGATATTTTCATATGTAAAAGCACATACCATATACACACATACACATCCCCCCCCCACACAAAAAGACACAAACAGAGAAAACAAGGGTAAATTCCGAAAAGAAAAACGACCCCCCCCCCCCCCGCCTGACACAAACAAAGCGCCACCATTAGGCAGACCGAGAATCACGCCCACATGCAAACAGGGTCTCTCTGCTCTTTCTCTTCTCTCTCTCACTCTCACTCTCGCTCTTTCTCGTTCTCGCTCTCTCTTGCTCTAGCTCTCCCTCTCTCATTCTCCCTCTCCCTCTTCTCCCTCTTCTCCTTCCCTCCCCTTCCCCCCTCCCCACTCCCTCCTTCTCCCTCCCTCTCTCTCCCACTCCCGAAGTTCATCCTGTCTGGAGTGTGTAATTGGTCTGCGGAGTGTGAAGAAGAAACTCCATTTCTGTGGCAAATGCGCAATTAAAATTCACAAGGCCGCCAGTGGTTACTCTCTTCCTCCCCTACCCCCTCCCTCTCTCCTCTCTTTCCCCCAGTTTCGTATTTTGCATATTTCCGCGCTCGCTCTCGCTCTCGCTCTTCGCTCTCGCCTCTCGCTCTCGCCTCCGCTCTCGCTCTCGCTCTCGCTCTCGCTCTCGCTCCTCGCTTCGCTTCGCTCTCGCTCTCGCTCTCGCTCTCGCTCGCACTCTCACTCTCAC